ATTGTGCTGCATGTATTATTCATCGCAGATGAGGTGTTCCAAAGTCAATATGAATTCACGCTGTTCCCCCGGCACAAAGGACTGATAGAAAGAAGATTAATGGCAACGATTTACGATGGGAGTGTCTGCAGAGTCACCGAGTGTCAGGAAATGGAAAAATGGAGGATTTTACAGAAACAAAAGAGAATTATCCACATATTTACAGATTCAGTTTAATTCAGGTTCTGTTTCAAATCCCAGTGTTCAAGGGAAAAAAATCCAAATCGTCTTAAAAACAATTTAACCAAAGTTAGAGAAACGACTAACTTTGGTTTCTACGGTTTCAAAAATGAGAATGTTATTCCAACATGATATTTAGAAAAAGTTAGGTATAAAGTAAGTCCTCAGTAATCATATTCATCTAAATACGATAAAAATACTGTTATTATCTGTAGATGTTTGGACTTTTAGTATCATCTGTGTTTCTGCTTTGATACACTGCAAAAACACAAAATCCTACCAAGCATTTTGGATCGACCGTCTTACGTTAGTACATCTGAAATAAGTCAAAAATAACTTACAATTAACTTTTCAGCAAGAAACAGGAGCTTGTTTTAAATAAATAATTCATGAATATTTATTAAAAAGTTCTCGTTCCATCAGCAGATTATTTCTAGCAAGATATATTTTTTTTCATGCTATGAAACTAGAACTTTTTCATCAATATTAAGAAATTATTTACCTGTTAAAAAGTTACTTGTAAGTTAATTTTGTCTTATTTCAAGTGCAGTAAGACATTTGCACTATAAACTAGATGAAAAATACTTGGTAAGATTTTGTGTTTTTGCAGTGTATCAAAACAGATAACAGTATTTTTTTTAAATCTTATTTAAACAAATAAAGAGGTTGTTTTGGTTTAAATCAGAGATTTTATCTCTTTTTATTTCCACGTTAGCCTTTTTGCAGCCAGGCTCAACAATAAATACACAAACTACCATTTGGCTTTTCCGTCTCACTCGTTTCCTTCCCAGAAAATGTGTTTTGTTTTTTGCCACGACAGCAGTCATTGGTTGAGAGGGACTTCTGTGCCGTTTCCACAACTAATGGAATAAAATGAATTTTGAAGTGGGTCATTTAACATCCTGATGATCTCCAATAACGTCCTATAAAGCGTTCGGCGTCGGAAGAAAAACAGAAAATGAAGGTTCAACATGGGACTGCAGACTTAAATTCTGCTAAATAACTTTAAGAAGGATGGGAACGTCAAAAACCAGCCGACTCGTCAGAGTAAGAACAACAGGGTTTGTGGTTCACGCAGCTTAACGTCAGACAAAGTATCTTTTTATGAATGTTTAATGTGCAACAGCTTTAAATTTATCAGGTGAAGAGATTAGAAGAAAATATTCTAGGGATTTTTACACTGTAAAAAATTTGAAGGTGGTTTGTCTTGATTGTTTTTTATCTGATCTGATAATGAATTTTATTAAACATCTCAGTGAATGCAGCTCAGGATATTATCCTGAGCTGCATTAAATTAAACATTTACATTAAGAACAAACCACTAAGCATTCTGGGAAACGGTTCCCACTCATGTCTATTTTCTTATTCAGTTTTTTAAGTGCAATCTTAAAAACTCTGGTTTATTCAACAACTGGACGTTTGATGAAATTAATAAAAAGTGAACACAACTCACCATCCTTTATCCTTCACAAACTCACATTTAGGTTAAAAATCTAAAACTGGCTGAATTTATTTGACTTAGAGAGCAGAACTAAAAGTAAAATGTTTCACATTTGAGCCACGTTCTGTTGTCTCAAAAGGATTTGGGAAACAACAGAAAGAGAAAGGCCGGCTGGACTTTAATAGTCAATGTTGTTTTTCATATAGACGGAGGGCGTTGAGGCCCAGAATGATTACAGAGCGAAGCTCTAAAATAAGCTGCTTCCTGCTGTTCTGTCAGGAAGTTATAGGAAAATCAGACGACCAGCAGAGCTGCAGATTAACAAACAAACAAAGGAAACGATTCACTTCCTGCTAAAACACCAAACACCCTAAAATACTTCCTGTGGCGATGGATCATTCGTTCTACTTTGTGAAATACATTTTACATCCGTCATAAATACAGTTATAAAATGACACAGATAAACATTTCAGTTCAATATTATTACTAGATATTCTGATAATTACGAACCTGCTGTAACTATTTACTTACATTTTTGAGACTTTTTTTTCCTTCTCAGTTTGAAATATTTCCGCCATTGAGAGTTTAATAATGAAAGTTTAATAAAAATTATATTTTTTATTAAAGTAAGTTGTGTACGTTATGTTAAAAAGTTAACACAACTTACTGCTGTAATTAAAACTCTATTTTTATTTACATTTCATGAAGGAGGTTCCTTCTGTTCTGCTCTGTTCCTTCTGAGGTTTCTGTGTTGTTTGCTTGAGTAGCGCCCCCGCAGGCGAGGAGGGGAACAGGTTTTTCAAAAGGATTGTTTTGTGTGACACAATGCATAGTGAGAGAGAACCAGAGCAGCTGAAAATGTGACAAATGCAAGTCGAACAAACTGTCAGGTGTCAAAACACCCAAAAAAACAAACTGGACACGATTAGAGGCAGTCAGACCTACAAGATTATATTTTCTTAATGGTTAAAGAAGCTTTGTATGTATGGTTTATTCTGCATCTAAGTAGAACTGGTCAAATAGTCACGAGTCCATCTGTTTACTCCTCAAAATTCAGTAAACACTTTGCTAATTACCCATTAGCAAAACAAAGAACAGAAAGATGTTTACAGCTTCTCAATTACAGAGATGTAATTATCTAAGGGGATGATTAGATACAATCCCCAAGTCTTTCAGAGCAGATTCGAGTGAGTAGGAAGGTGTGTGTGTGTGCGCGTGTGTGTGTGTGTGTGTGTGTGTGTGTGTGTGTGTGTGTGTGTGTGTGTGTGTGTGTGTGTGTGTGTGTGTGTGTGTGTGTGACACCAGTGACTCACTATCCCATCACCCCAGCTGGTGAGGATGTGACACTTTGACTGATTTTATTGGGATGAGAAAATCTCCCAGCCAGGACGAGATGCGAGCTTCTCTCCTCTCCTCCAAGGTTAAAACCGATGAAAGCGGGACTCGATTCAAGGTTCAGAAACGCTCCGCCTGTTTATGCAACGCTTTAAATATCCCGGTCCTCGGCCTCCATCCAAACAAATCTCAGCAAAGCACCGGAAAAACACAGATGCAGCATCATGAAAACCGTTGATAACGGGTGATTAACCAAAGGGTTACACAGAGTTCCTCTTAATAAAAGTTTTTCTTCACAAGTACTTATCGACTAATAAAGCTGCTTCCAGAAACCTCAGTTCTGCTTTATGAAGCTGGAGGTTCAAAAATAATCTCCATCTAAACATGCAAAACCTTAAATCTGTTAAATGTTAAAAATTAAATGCCTCAATATGTCTGAGTTGGGATTGTGCAGCCAAACCTGCTGGATTTTTAACACTTGGATCAAATAAAATATTTATTTTGCTCAAGTTTGAAATCATATTTTAGTCTTTTCACTATAGTATGTATTGTTACATAAATGCCAGTATATTTTACATCCAAGTCATTTTACCAAGTTAGGCTAAAGAAATATGGAAGAATTAGTTTAGAAATTTGAATTACCAGGTGATTTACTAATGTTTTATTTAGTATTTTTCTGGATTTTATTCTTACTTTTAACAATGTCTTAATTTTTCCAGCTGTTAACATGATTTTTGTTAAATCATTTCGTAAAATCTGACTTTTTTGTCTTGAAATGAAAAAAGAAATGTAAAGAAAGATTTATTTGGGATTAATAAAGTTTTTCCGAATTGAATTTGTTTCACTTGAGGTTACTACTTAAAATGGGTCTTAAAATAAAATTAAGTTGTAACATCTTGGTACAAAAGTATATTAAATCATTTTTATACATTTTGCCATCAATAAATGTTCACAAACCAACTTGCAATTTATTTAGTTATATCTGGTTATAAGAGAAAAGGATTTAATTGCACCATAATAATGCAAAGTAACCTCATTTTACTCATAAAACTAAAGAAATGAACAAAAATTGGTGATGGATGGTCAGAGAGATGTTAGAGAAGGAGACATGATTGTTGTCCATTATGATTGATAGAAAAAATGCTATGAACTTCCTTCTCTCTCTGCTATGCATCCAAGAAGTCTCCTTTTCATCTCCTCTGAGCTTTGGGGGTCAAAGTTCAGATGCTCTTTGAGCTTTTAAGATGCTAATCAGCTGTTCCCAATTATATAATAACATGTTGCTTCTCCCAGCTAAACAGAATCCAAAACCACATGAAATAATTGTCCATAATAAAAACAATTATGAACAAAACAAGGAATCCAACCTGCTCTCACTGTGAGCAACACAACTGTAGAAACAAACATCTTTCGACATTTAACTTTTACTTCAAAGCAATAACCGAACTGAATCTTCAACACATCAGTTATGAACTGCGCCGACTTATAGTCGTCATAAATCAAGCGTTGCCGTTTATTTCCTCCTCTCTAAGCTTCCTTTACACTCCAGAGGAGGCCCATCGCTCCAAACGTTTATTACAGGAAATAAAATGTGGAAGCCAGCAGCGTATTTTCATAAGTCCATGTTGTTGGCGGTTCGTTCATCCAGCCTGTCGCTTTACAGTGCAGACCACAAGGTCATGACCCTGAGGTAACGCTGGTCAAGATGGAGATTTCAGTAAAAGCTTTGCAGGTGCCAGATATCCTGCCCTTTCCACACCCCCAGACCCCCCACACACGTACTAATTTGTCTTTTATTGGATTAATTCTGTTCTATCAGTCAGTTTTACCCATTTTTTCTCCTCTAATCCTGAATTTACATCCGACAATCTTCATCGTCTTCCGTTCCATTTTTTCTCACGTTTCCGATCTGACGTGTCAGCATCCCACACGCCATCAGGTGAACAGCCGAGTTAAAGCCCAATAAAAGCCGCAGCAGCAGCTGCTGAAAAGGATTCAGGTTTACCTGCCAGAAGATGGTGTCTATCGTGCTGCCCAGAAAACCTTCCCTGGTTTCAGACGACAGCAGCTTGGGGCCGAGAATCGTCATGAATTCCTCAAAATCGACCTGTCCGTCACCTGGAAGAGGATCAGAGGTGCTCGTTTATTTATCAACTAGTTTGGTTCTTTCAGCATTAAATTGAAAGGTTGAAAGGAGAAGCAGCATTCAGCGTCTACACAACAAATATCTGGAACAAACTTCCAGAAAACTGCAAAACAAATGAAACAGAGTTTATTTAAATCAAAGTTAAGACTCACCTGTTCAGAGGTGAGTCTGATTAATAATACATGGAACACTGAGCAAAATATTTGATATTAAAATGTAACGTTTGGTTTCTCAACTGTTGACTTTATGTTGGTTTTTATTTTTGTGTTTTTATGAAGTAAACCAGTTTGAGCTGCTGTGCTCTGCAGACTGATTGATTAAAAAAGACCAAAAAAAAGCAAAATTTAAAAATGCACACTGCAAAAACACAAAATCTTACCAGGTATTTTTGGCCTGGCTTCTAGTTTAAATGTCTTAGCACATTTGAAATAAAACAAAACTAACTTACATGTAAATTTTAAACAAGACATAGAAACATTTCTGATGTAAATTATTCCATTATGCTGATGAAAAAGTTTTTGTTCCAATGAAAGATTATCGCTTATAAAATGGGAAAATGTCTTTTTGCTAAAAGTGAAATAATCTGCCAATAAAACTGGAACTTTTTCTTCAATATTAAGAAATTACTGACTTAAAACCAGCTCCTATATCCTGCTAAAAAGTGAGTTAGTTTTCTCTTATCAAGTGCACTGAGATATTTGCAGAAAAAACTAGAACAAAATTACTTGGCAAGATTTTGTATTTTTGCAGTCAAAATAATTTTATGAGCAGCTCATTTTGGGTTTCTTGCATTTCGAAGCTTTGCTTAGAAATTTCTGAAGTGCAAAATGTGAATTTCTACCATTTCTAACTGGTCTTAATGTTTTGGGTTTTGTCTTTTCTTGCTTTAGTCTGGACACAATCTGTGCAGCTCAAATCGCCCCCAAAAATGCAGAGAATTTATAGATAAAATTTGGATCTGAATATGAATATGCCATGTGGGTTAAATCTCTCTGATATGATTGCACTACCCACACCATCAGTGTAGGGCATTAGTGTGTGAGCTTCCTTAATATGAATAATACAGTCATGACTAAAATAGCTTCAGGAACCACACTGCATGCAGATTCAGCCACAGCATCTAAATATTCACTAAAAACAACAGAATTTTAACTGAAAAGGAAAAACTTTGTGCATTTATCTGTAATGCAAACCGGTCTATAAGCGCAGCCTAATACTGTGGAACAAATGCAAACCTTTTTGTCTGTTTTTTTTTTATTTTACCAAACACATCATGGATGCTGGATCTCATTTTGTAGGCACAGTTTGTGACAGCTCAACATTCGGCACAAAGTCACCGAGTCACTTTCTGTGTCCGTCACAGTCAAAGCCACCTGCTTTTCACAGCTTTTTCCCCTTCCATTTTTTACAACCCAGCAGCTGGAAACTGAACAAATGAATTATTGCAGAAGCGAATTTGTGCACGCATCACCAAAGTCACTCAAGTTCACTTGATTTTAACTAAGCGCTAAACTCCAGGAAACTCAGATGAGAGAAACAAAAAGCAGACATAATTTCACATGAGTTAGCAGAACAGAGAGCCGTCGATTTTGCGATTAGGTGAACTTTGCTGCAAGGCTGAAAATCAGCAGGTTAGTGAGGATCAAATGTTCACTCCATCTCATCTGGCCAAAACATAATCACCAAAATCCAATCCCAGTCGTCTGCTAATGACATCCCTCTCTTTAATGCCGACTCTCTTCCTGCTAATTATCCTGTGAACGCTCAGACTTAAATTTAAAAACTTTTTCCAAACTCTGCTGATGAATCAGGGCTGCAGCTTAAAATTGGCTGCATGAATTTAAAACAATGTACGGCGCCTCTTTATTGAAGTGATAAATACTGCAGTACAATAATGTCTGGAAGAAAGTAAGTGGTAAAAAGTTCGTCAGGAATTTAAAAGAATGTCACGCTGTAAAAACACAAAAATCCTATCAAGTCATTTTGGTCTATTTTCTATTGCAAATATGTCAGAACACTTGAAATAATACAAAAGTAATTTGTCAGCAACAAACAGGAGTTTTTTTAAGTTAATAATTCTAGAAAGTAATCAAAAGTACTTTGTAGTATTTTGTGTTTTTGCAGAGCTCTGAATATATAAGCTGTCAGCTGTTTGTCTCTGACTTTTCTTCATACAAATAATATTTTTAGAGAAAGTAAAAAGTTTTTTCATCTGTTTTGATTAAAAGATCAAAGGTAAGCAGAAAATAATTGGATTCAGATTTTTAAAATTTTGTGTTTTTTTTCTTTTTACTGTTTTGAAACATGGTGATATTAGATATTGTTGTAGTAGTAAAACATTAAAGCCAGTAAATTGGAAATTTGGACATTTATGTTGAAGTTTTTAAAGATTTGCACACAAAAACACATGCTTTCACTGTGAAAAACAGATTCTTACCAAGTAACTTCCATCTACTTTTCGGTTCAAATATCTTAGAGAACTTGGAATGAGACAAAACTAAGTTGCAAGTAACTTTCAGCAAGAAATTGGAGCTTTTTTTGAGTAAATAAGTCTGAAATATTGATTACAAAGTTGCAGTTCCTCTGGTACCTAGGAACAAAGTTCTACTTCTATTGGCAAATTACTTCATTTTTCATCAATATGAAGGAATTATTGACTTAAAACATTCACATTTTATATACATGGAAACAAGCTACTACAAATTGATGCTTTTATGTTTCTGTGCAGTGAGACATTTGCATTAAAAGCTATTCTTGGTGGGATTTGGTGTTTTCCATTTGATGCAGAGTGACTGCGTTTCTGCAGGCCATGACTCACCGTCCATGTCGAGTCTCTGCATGATGATGGCCAGCTCCACCTCACTGGGCATGTACCCCAGAGACCGCATGGCCATTCCCAGCTCCTGCTTGGAAATGAACCCGTTTCCATCACGATCCAGCACCTTAAACGCTTCCCGGATCTCTGCCAAGACAAACAACACATCCACTCACAATCAGTAAGCAACCCTCATCTTCCTGCTTCAAGGTTGCATGGGGAAAAAGGTGTTTTAATTGATTTATTCATGGATTTCATATTTTGTTCTCTGCATTTTGGGATTTCTCTGCTCGTCTCGTCTCCTCTCGCCCTTTGCTCCCTCTCCTTCCTGCCTGACCCAGCGTCCTCAGCGCGGTGTTATGCAATTGGTCTTGCACCACTGCCTCAAGTGAATAAGATCAATTGCAGCCATTGATTTATGTTCTGCACCTGCTTCCACAGCCGCCGTCTCCTCTGATCAGGCTTTCGCACTGAGCTGCTTTTTTGGTTCCACCCATTGAGTCACATTTACAGAACATTTCTGTACCTTTCAGGAAGCTAATCATCCAACGCTGCAATGAACAGATTAAGGAGGGTTTCTTTCCTCTGGGCTTCCACTCTGTTACAGTCAGACTTAAATATCTGACCTTCAGAAAATCATTTTCTTGAGATGACAAGTTAATTTGAGTACATTTTCAGTTTTCCACACATTCTTTTTCCCGATGGTTTTCTTGAGATAACTTCTCAGTTTCTTGAGTTAATTTCTCGTTTTCCGCATATAAACATCTTTTATCATAAGATAAATTTACTTCACATTTTCTAGAGATAACAAGTAAACGTAGCATTCTCTTGAGATGCTGAGTTAATTTCCTGTTTTCTCAAGCTAACGAGTTAATTCCCCGTTTTCCCGCATGTACGTTTTCTAGATGGTTTTCTTGAGTCGGTCTTGAGAAAACAAACGTTGCCGTGCATTTAAAGGTACTGAACTGTGGCGAAGGAACCTCGGCATGAAGATCCTTTTCCTGATCCGATTCTCGCAAACATCTCACGGTTGAATCAGCTGCTTCACTCGCTGCTCACTGAGTAATAATGTCATCAGTAGAGGAGTCAGCGGACTTCACTGCGCTTTAATAAATGCATATTTCACAAGTGAGCCTGCAGATCAGAGAGGGAGGATGGTAAGAAAAGGCTGACAGGCATCTGGTGTTTTTTAAATGGGGTGGAATGTCACTTCTCTGCAGAACACTGACTGTGTGCCATGCATGAACACGCTGCTGAACGCTGAATAATATCAGGTTGCAGACTGGAATAGATGATTACCGCCGTTCTTTCCTGCAAACCACAGGCAGCAGGAACGTTCAAGGCTTTTCTCGTCGACTCCACAAGTTTAGATAAAAACACCAACAGAGATCAAAACGTGCTTAAAACAGGAGTTATGGTTGAAATGGCTGCTTACAAATCAATGAAACTGAAGATGAAAGAGTAAAATTTGACTTCAAGGAGGAAATGTTGTGCAAAATTCATATTTTTTGTGCTTCCGTTTGGTTTCCTACTGTTTCTCAAAACAGCACAAGAGCTTGAAATCGATTTTTGTCAATAAAGTTTTTTGGTGACTTAAACCTCTGAATGTTGAACCTTTGAATTGAGTTTTTAAATTATTGATGTTGAATCTGAACGTAATAAATCTCAGCCTGGAGAAATTAGTTTCGAGACAGAATATCTGACAGAAACTGGAATGTTTTTAAAACCAACTTCAGCTGCTTTTGAAGTCAAGGAGTGAAATACTCCATCTTGAAAACAAATCTATGGACTCCTGTTTTTGATTAAATGGTGTTTGTGTCCAACATTTCCTCAGAAACACATTTTACACACTTCACTCTGTCATCTTGAAAATATTGGAAGCCTCCTTTCATCCGTCATCCTGAATGATGCGGGAAAACTTGGCCATGCCTTCGTCTCTTACAGGCTGCTGCAACTCACTCTGTTGAAATTTCAGTAAAAATGTCCAAAAAATGTGTTTAATAAAGAAGACTGGCAATGCTACTCACAAAAAATACAATTATTTATTTATTTTTACAATCCCTCCATTGGCTCTCTGGTAATACGACATCAGGGCAACTTTACATCGAAACAAAAACGCTCAATTTCCTCAGAAATATTTAGTTTTATCTCAGAAATTTTCTACAAAAGATGTGGAATGTTATGAGCTCAAAAAAATCAAAATTTGTGGAAAAAAACCTCACAAATTTCAAAATTTATCTCAGAAGTTTTGTAGAAAAACTTGGAATCTTATGAGTTTGAAAAGTCAAAATTTGAAAGAAAACATCCGTACAAAATTTGAGGTAAACATAAAAAAATTTTAATGGAAAAAACAAACAGTGGAAATTTATCAGTTTGAAAAGTCAAATATGTGAGATAAAAAAAAACTGAATTTTTTGGATTATTACCAGAAATGTTTGACAAAAAATCTTAGAAGTTAATGAGTTTGTAAAATCAAAAGTTTCTACAATTTTTAGATTAATCTCAGAAATTTTCTAGAAAGACCTGGAAATTTATAAATCTTAAAAGTCAAAATTTTGCAACTAAAAAAATTTCACAAATTTTATGATTAATATCAGAAATTTTCTGGAAAACATGTTAAAGTTGATGAGTTTTGTAAAGTCTGCCAGAAAAAAACTCAGAAACTTTAAGATTAATCTTACGAAATTTCAACAAAAAATTGAAATTTATCAACTTGAAACATCAAAATTTTCTATAAAATACCTCAGAAATGTTCAGATGAAAATCAGAATTCTTTTAGAAAACAACTTGGAAATTTATTACTTTGAAAAGACAGAAATCAGCTCAAAATCTGCCAAAAAAAAAGAAAAACTGAGATTTTTGGGATTAATCTCAGAAAATGTCTAGGAAAAAACACTGAAATGAAAAGTAAGACAATTTCAACCTTTGAACTTTTAAAGAAAACATGACAGTATAGAAACCCACAGACCTCTGTTTCTTCTAAGCGAGGAAATTCTCAGATATTCTCATAATTTACTTCTCATTTACTGTCTGCCTGAGCCAAATAATCTCCGGTCTGAAAATAAACCAGTCAATCAGCTTATTATCATCATGCTGGTCCCGTCTGCTGGTAAATGAGTCGGAGCAGCGAAGCTTAAATGGAGCGTGAATTATGAATTGTGTCATGAAGTTACAGGCGATGTTTTGGTTGCGTTTATTGAGATAATTAGAGGCCACAGTCTGTGACAAGCTGCATAAACATGGCATCGTTTTTACCTTTTCAGGCAGCTGGTCACGAGGCTCTCTAACCGCCATCGTCATCATCATTCTGCAGCAACACAACACTCTCCTTCACAGCCAACATTTCTCTGCATGCAAACACATAAAAGCTAACCTACAGCCACATACAGAGCATGCGGATAATTTCTCTCTGTGCTGAAATGAGTGTTTCGTGCATAAATCTAGCAGTGACTCAGGCTTTTGTTGAGCACTTTCCTCTGTCTGGAACAGAACAACACGGGCTCAGTTTGTATATTCTAATAACTCAGACTGCTTCATGAACAAATGCAGTCCATCAGCACTCACAGCATCTGAAACATTCAGCGACTCTCCAGCTGAAATCTGACATTTGGTACAGAAATGTCTCCACATGTCTGGTAGGAAAATGTTAAAGTCTAAGTTTAAATTTCCTGTTTTAAGCTTCCTCCTTTGTTCTGCCAAGTAAAACATGTTATGGGGATTAAATCCCTAATGCCACGTATCTTTGGAGAAGTTTGACCTTTCTGATGCAACATTTACACCGCCGGCCGTCTTGTAAACACACCTGGTGGAAACACGGATCTGTCTGGACAGGTTTGACTTCCCAGCAGGGGTCCAGTAGAGACCAAAGGGCGATGCGCCTCACTGCTGTCAGACGTGCATGAGAAACATCATTTTTTATCAAACAGCAGCAGCAGCTGCGTCCGCCGATCCGTTATGAAGCTCCTCTTCTCAGAGGTGTAGATGAAACTGCCAGCTCAGATGGAAAGCTTTACATCTTTTTTAGGGCCAGAATTTGACCCTAAAAATTTTAAAAGTAAACTTTCTAGAGTAGGGTTAGGGTTAGCTGTGTTTCCATCGAGTATAAGATTGCACAATTTGACATTTTAAAGTCAATTTGCATTGGCTTATTTTGCAAAACTGCATCGGAAACACCCTTTTCACGTCACTTTATCAACAAATGAAGCTTAGGCGTAAATTCAACCTGGGAGACTCGATCCAGCTGACATTCATCTCGCAATCGCCACGTCCTACCTCAACCAATCAGGGCTGGAGCAACTCTCCGCTTTGGGCCTATCATCCAGGACCGTCTTCAAAAGCCAAGCTACCAGAGGGCCAACCCGCTCGTCGCTGTGCACAACCCACCTCCTCCCCTCTTCTCCACCTCCGTTCTGATGGATGTTTCCAGGATTCTTCTGCACCCAGCTCCACCACCGGTTTCGGCCCCGGGGAAGACTGTCCGAGCTCGGCCGAGCTGATGTCCTGCCCGCGGTGATCCGCGACTCACAGTCTTCAGCCGGGGCCGAGCGCCAAAGATTCTGTATCATTAAATCTCTAACTGCTATTCTCTTCTCTGTGTGAGTCTCTCCAGATTGAAATGGATGTTTCCACTGATGCAAACCACGAAGAAAACAGGATGATGTTTATTAATGACTCATGAACAAACTTATACTGCGGTTTTTTTATTAAATAAGAATTGTATTTAAAATCACATATGAATATTTTTTAAGAGTATTTGTAACGAATATGCAGCTTCTGAGAGTTTTTTTTAAATTTTTTCCTTCAATGTCCCTTTCGGGTCTCCATACCTGAGGAACTTTGAACATGACAATAAAAACAATAAATCCGAATTACACTGCAAAAACACAAAATATCACCAAGTACGTTTCGTCTAGTTTCTAGTGCAAACATCACATTATTTATTTAAAACAAGCCCTGAAACGCACCTTCCGCATGAATGCCCCGCTTTCTGATTGGCTAAAAATCACCTACACATTTATTTATATATTTAGATCTGGATCAGATTAGATTTATATTTATTCAGAGTGAATTTTTCCAATTTTTTGACACATTAGGTATTCCGTAGCAATAAATCCCTGCTGCAGCAATAACAATCAATCCATGCACAG